GAACAACGGCTACTTGTTCAATAACTACCATAGGTGTACTGACCGTACCGCGAAGTCGAGTTCCGAGCTCAAGCTCGGCATCACAGTGCAAGATGATCTCGGGCACGCGTCATACGGCGTCAGCTCGGCATTCAGGTGAATCACAACTGATTCCCGAGAATCTCACCCATACGAGATCCATTATCTAATCACTGATTACCGAAGATCTCGCCCCAGACGAGATCTGCTATCATATCTTATCTCAGGTCCAGAGCCCAAAGCAACCCTAATCCACTCCAAGGTACGTGCATTACTTATACGGGACTATTACTCATACAAACCCTAACTTTAGCATCGGAGTCTCTTTTGCAGGTACTACCCCCATTTTGGAGCATCAGCGTACCAGTGAAGGAGGCTCACCAATCTTACATGGAAGATCGTCCTACGACAAATTCCGGTAAGAACATTTGGCGCCCACCGTGGGGCCGATCGAGACAGCTCTTATCGGCCACCCGTATGGTATTCACCAAAAGCCACAACAGACGTGTAACACACCATGGACAGCGACGCTGCAACCTTGAGAAGGCTGATCGACCAAGTCGAACAGATGCGCCAGCAGCATGACACTAACCTGCGCAACATGCGTGCCAAACACGAAGCCGACCTAGCGGCAATGCGGACAGCCAATGAAGCAGACCTCGCAGCGCTGCGTGAAGAAAACGAGCGCATTCGCGCCCAACTCCCTCGACGCCCCTCTGATCGCCCTCCTCACGGGAGCAACATCCATGAAGATGAGGCACACTCGACCTCTCAATCCCGGACTGCGACTAGGGCACCAACGTCGCAACCCGCCACGCACCGATCTCATGCATCGACGCACAAGCCAGGCCCAGACGCCAGCAGAGCACCCTCACATGCCACGGAAGGCTGCGAAACCTTCCGCCGACATCCCTTTGTGGACGGCATCATGGAGACCCCACTCCCCCGAGGATGGAAGCCTCTCCATCTCGACCGCTATGACGGCACGACGGACCCCGATGAGCACATTGACCTATAGACAGCCCAAGTAAACCTCTACACTAACAGTGATGCTATCCTGTGTAGGGTTTTTCTGACCTCGCTCAAAGGGGCCACACTCCACTGGTACACCCAGCTACCTGCCGAGTCCATCGACAGCTTCAGTACCTTAATTCGCCGGTTCACGGCGCAGTACGCCACCAGCCGACCTCACCACACAACCTCCACTGCATTGGCCAACCTCAGGCAGAGTGATGACGAACCTCTGCGGGCCTTCATGGAGCGCTTCTCCAGCATCTCGGTGAGGATCCGAAGCTTAAACCCCGAGGTCGCCCTTCACTCCATGCTCATGGCCCTCAAAGCTGGCCCCTTTGTCGACAGCCTCTGTCGAGACCCCCCCCACGACATGGATGAACTTCGCGCCGCGCGTCCGGATACATCCAGATAGAGGAGCACTCCGCCTTCCGCGACCAGGTTCGCGGGAAAGCCCCAGCAAATCCGGAACAAGGGCATATGGATAAAATCAGAGTCAACAATGACAGTTAATTCAAGAAGTCGACTAGGGCAAACAGAGGGGGGAGATACGACTTTTACACTCCCCTGAACGCACCTAGGGTACACATCCTGGAGGAAGGCAACAATAATAACTTGCTCGCCCTTCCACCACTGGGTCACACTCCCAGCAGTGCCGACAAGTCCAAGCACTGCCGGTACCACAGGAACCATGGTCACACCACGGAGGAATGTCGCACACTCCGGGACCGCATTGAAGAGCTCATCCAAGCAGGCCACCTCGACCAGTATGTCCAGCGCCAACAAAGTAACAGAGGTGGCTATGAAGGCCGAGGACGCGGTAGAGGTCGAGGTTCAGGAGCCCGCACTGACTCACACCCGGGTTCCCAACAAAATGCTAGCGGGGCAGTACAAGCCGAGATAAGCCAAGAGACAGAGTCGGCTCCCTTACGAGGAGTAATCAACACGATCGCAGGTGGTTTTGCGGGTGGAGGCGCCAACAGCTCGGCCCGAAGAAGACACCTGCAGAGCATCAACTGCGTCCACTCTACCACCTCGGCCCCGCACCAAAGCTCGCCGCCGATCTCCTTCTCTGACGAAGACTACGTCGGCGTCAACCCTAACCAGGACGACCCCATGGTCATCGTTGTGGAGATAGCCAACTGGAAAGTGCAGAAAACACTCATTGACGAGGGAAGCTCGGCTGACGTCCTGTACTGGCCAACGTTCCTCAAACTAGACGTCCCTCACTCTCTCATTCAACCTCACACGGAACCCCTAGTCGGCTTCGCAGGAGAGCGAGTTCACACTCGGGGATACGTAGACTTGCTGACAACTTTCGAAACGCCACCGGATACAAGGCGGGTCATGGTCCGGTACCTCCTCGTGGAAGCCAACACTTCCTACAACATCATCATCGGGAGGCCAACCTTGAACCAACTCGGAGCGGTAGTGTCAACCCCACACCTCACCATGAAGTTCCCGGGCAAGGACGGTAAAGTCATCTCCGTCAAA